TGCAACACGTATGCAAATTTGGTCTGGGTACGATTTATAGTTACTTGGGAATGGATCTGCCAAACACTTTAACCCGTTTACTCTTTCAGAAAATGTGGATCAGATTCAAATGAATGTTCAAATAAGACTGGTATTGTATATCCCTATCTGCGTCATCCATACAAGTTTAGTCACCATAGTTATATACGGTTTTTGGTAACTTTGAAATGAGATCTGCTCCTTCATGTATATCCTGCTCTTAAACCTGCTCTGAACACATTAACCTGGTCATTCATCCTGCAAATATTGCCTAAAAATATAGCTTCTGGAACTTGGCTAGTACAATGAAAGATACTAATATGAAGAATGATACATCTTCCATGCAATTCGTATCAATAAAGGGCATATAGTTATTGGAAATAAACCTGCTTCAAAAACTTTGACCTGGGATGCCAACTCTGAGGGTTTAGCATAAATTCCACCGACTTTCAAGGAGAGCTAAAAATAAGTTCAAAGCCTTTTGACTTTTATACAAACTAAAGCACAGGCATTTATTACATCTTTATCTCCCATATTCTTTCTTAGTTTCAATATTCATCCATGTTCTTTGTTATTCTATGGAAACTGCATTTTCTAATCTGTATCCAATTAACTTAACAATGAACATACTCACCTAAGTCATTAATTCAATATCTGATTAATTCATCAATGAAAAGTAATTGAAAGGCTTTTCTAAACATGTTTAAATTTTTTTTAAATTCAAACTGCATAAACAAGAATAACTGCTAACAGAGACAGGGAATTTCAACATAATTCAAATAGAACATTCAAATCTTGCTAAAAGGAATACAATAAAGAAATTATTTTGAACATATTATGGTTCTAAATATCCTTCTACAATATACAACAAATATTATATCAGAACACTCATTCAAAACTTTTGAACATGTAAGCAATTCATTCTATTGTAACAGTAACATTTTTGTAACTAAAAAAATAAACAAGACTTGTTCTTCATGAAAATTCCAGTGAATTCTTTTCTTTCTATCTTACTGACATCTTTCTATTCTACAATTCTGATACATGTAACATTAAACAGAAATTATCCTTTACTCATTTTTGCATTTTATACTATTCATGTTGTTAGGTAAAAATTAGAATATACACTGTATCCAACTCTTCCACATAGGATTAGAAAACACTGCCAAAATATCATGCCTGAGCATCTACATATGCCAAAATAATTACAGCAAATCCTTGTGTTCCATACCAAATGGAGAGGTTTTAACTTTTATTACATGTACACATGTATTTAATACCGGTAGTTAAACAGCTCTGTACTGACTACAACAGAAGATCTAAACTCTGCATTTCCTGTCATGTTGTTAAGACAAAGAGATTCAATGGTTTCGTTTTGTTTTTCCAGAACAATATAGCATTTTGTAAAACATTTTATGTTTGTTAATGGACGTCAAATGACATCAAATCTTATCCCTCAATACAATACATAGATATGAATTTTTGTAATTGTTTAATTCAAATACTTCCTACATGTTCATAATGATTGTGGAAATATAATATTGAATATTATCTCCACTAAAGAAAGCTCTATAATCAGTAGTGAATAATCATTTTAAACACTCCTCTCTTCTTAAAAATAAACTAAATGCTCTTTGTAAAATATGAAGTAGCATGTTAACCAAACATACAATACATTAACTTGTTAATGTAAAAAAAGATGATAATCCTGAGGAATTATTAGGGACTAAATGAACTGGATTGTGATAAGCCTGAAAGCAACTAGGGACAGCGACTAACCTTGATTCATGCCATACATACATCAGAAAATTAGAAACAAAATAATTATGCAATATGAAGCTGTGTGATCGTGCATGCTTTGAAATAAACAATTGTAAAATAACAGCGTTCTTGATACTTGTATAATCTAATGACTTTATATCCTCCCTAAGAGGATTAGATAAGTAATTAAATATAAGACTAAATGATTAAACAAATATATATACTGACAGAAATTCTGATAGCTGAAATTGTTTTTTAATAATCCAAAAATAATAAAGTAAATATTCAATTACAATGGTACTGATTTTTTTCCCAATAAAAATATAACTAAGAATCTTAATCTTCTCATATTTACACATCTATACATACCGGTTAATCCTGATGTGACTGTTACATTTGGTTTATAAAACCAGGTAAATTATGCACTCTACACACTGTACATGTATAATGAATAAAAATCATAAAAAAAAAATTCTGCTATCTGCAACATTGTACAAATTTATAAAATTTTAATTTCTTTATTCTGCAGACGCATTCTAAAAATGTGCTTATGATTTTACTTACACATATAGTCTAATTTTATATAAATATATATATATATATATATATATATATATATATATATATATATATATATATATATATATATATATATATATATATATATATATATATATATATATATATATATATATATATATATATATATATATATATATATCCTTAATATATGTAATACATGTACTTATCTATACACAGAGTACATTTAATGTTGAGGAGATGGAACAGTGATTTGAGGCTGGAAGCATAAGGTGAACAAATAAGAATAATAAAAATTCTTATCACCAATGAACGGTTTATCATAATAAGATTAATCAAATATTTATAAAAATATGTATAAGTAAATACCATGTGTTATTTGTAAGGAGAGGAACTCATAAAAGTTGTCAGAACTTGTTTCCGATCCTGTTGATTATTTCGATAAAATATATTCAAAACAACAAAGTATTATTAAACAAAAACTACATAAAATTCTTCTAACTATTGAACAGTTTGATTTACTAACTAACATCAAAAAGAAAATAAATATTAAATGATATTACACCATGAAAAAAGGAAAGTAAAAAAAAATACACAAGAATTCAAAAGGTATTCATTAACTCTTAATTACCATATATATATAAATAATTTACACATAAAATAAATGTTTGGTTTTAATTATTTTTTTTAATGAAATTAAGCTATTATGCTAAAGGGTAAATATACATAAATATACATGTATAAAACAAAATTTTAGCTTGGAAGATAAAGCAGGGCTTAAATTGACCCTCTTTGGTACAGGCTGGGTCCTGTACCCATTCAATTGGGAGTTTAAAATTGAAAAATAAGTAACAAAACTAAGAAAAATTGATGAAATATTATGTAAAATAAAGACAATTATATTGTAGCTTATCCTCTATGCACATCTTAATATAATCTCAGAATTCAATTTTTTTTTCAATATTGTCATTTTGGAATTTTTACCTTAATTTTGGTAAAAAGGGTCAATTTTAAATATGGGGTAGGGTCCTTTTAATAGACCTGCATGCAAGGGATATTAATCCCTATAAGATATTGGAAAACTGTGTGTTTGAGGGGGGGGGGGCTTGTTCATCACATTTTAACACACATTGGGGGGGGGGCATTTTAAAGGGATAGTAGAAAAAAAAATAAAGTGGTGTTTTTAGGTCTCTCATGTTTTGAGGTACACTATTTTATAATCTATAGAGCAATCTACTTAGGACAAAAATATATTTCAAATCTCAATAAAAGTAATCTGCTTGATTTAAAAATATGATATGTGCGTGCAAAAATGCAAAAAAAAAAAAAAAAATTTAACATCCACAACTCCATATCCCTGAACTTTGTTGATTAGTGTTTGTACCTATTTACCACCATGTATGACCTCATGATGATATTGGCAAAGAAGAAAAAAAACACAACCATGAAAACATTCTTATTACTTTAAATAAATAATTGCCCTTAAACAAAAAACGTGTTTGAGTCAGGAATTACATGTATTTCATTTGAAAATTCTGAAAGACATGTACCTACTTTCTTTAATAGTTATCATTTCCTTACATTTCCCTTTATTTTGCATCAGAAGTTGAGAGCTTAAATTATACAATGGCAGTTTTAAAATTTCCCAAGGTGATCAAAAATAGTTGGGAGATTGTGGCCTTCTACCACAGATAAATTGTTTACCGTTATGAAATGCTTGCTTTTCAGCAACTACAAATTGAATCTGTTTGAAATTAAATTGACAATTCAGGCTAAAAACAACATGATGTAACAGCCTCTGCCTGACAGTGCTTGTTGATAACAGACTGGGAAAATCAATAAGCTCCAAATAATAGAAAAAATGCTTTCAGGCCAAAATATTTCATAAACATTTCAATGTTTTCTCTAAAATCATTTCTGGTTCAATTGATCTGAAGAGAAAACATTATTTCAGTAGTAAAAAGCCCTTTGAGGTAATGAATTTGGTATAAATGCTACTTAACTTGCCTTTCTGTCAATGAATATAATTGTCTTCAATTTCTCCTAAATCTTTTTCTTAAATGGGAAATTGAAACCCATGCAGTTTGAAATTCAGCTTTATAAATGTTTAAAGGTGAAAAAGTTAAAGAAAAAAAAGATTTATGTTTGTAGTAGAGTAAAGGTAATTAAATAGGATGAAACTAAAATTGAAACTTTAATTGATTAATTACACTAAAAATATACATATAAGCAAAGGTACATGTGATATGCGTATATATAAAAGATATTCATGTAGACTTTGGGTAGTTAGTTTTCAAAAGCATGGATTAAATGCATAAAAATATCTTTTGGTTTTGTGAAAAAATCTTTGTTACCTAAACTGAAAAGAAATATTATTTTTATAGAGCTTGTGTCTTAAGGGGGCAAAATATTGCAATTTATTTGTCAACTTTGACATGTTTTATGACATTACAGAGCTGGACTTTGTTTATCAGAAAATAGGTCCTTAATACATCATTCCAAAACAGAAAATTCTGGAAAATGAGGATTTCTAGAGATAAAATGTTGCACAATTAAGGCATAATAAATCAATACACCATGCAAGCAACAATGCTGATTTATGAAACTTGGAGCAAAGTCAATGAAAACATGAAATGAAACTAAAGTTATTATAGCATAATAGGCATAATACCAATGAATACATACATGTATATGGATATGAAAATACACTGTAGGTTAAATACCATAGACATTACTTAATTGATGTGTTCTAACTTCTACACCTGTCCAAAATTTTACGGCTGAAAGGAGTAGAGCATCGATCATTTGCATACAATGGCCTGGATTACCTGGATAACAGACCTAGATTATTTGGATACAGGTTTATGGATTTCAATATCACTGTCACTATCCTCATGCATTGAGATCAAGGTTTGGCCATTGGAACTTGTATGGATCAGTCTTTCCATGGCAAATTCATCTTTTTCACCGTATGCTCCACATCGACGATGAATAAAGGCTATCACCCCACCAATGCACAGAATTAGAAGGAAATCTGCAGCAACATGCCAGGCATAGAACATAGTTGCAATCATTAAATCATCATGGTCATCCGGTTTCCAGGGAATATGGTTAGGATTTGGGTTGTAGAGGATGAATCCAACTTGCCAGAACCATGTTCCTTGGAGTAAAAACCCATAGCACCGGGAAAGAGCACACAAAACACTGTTACGATACTTCATTTCTAAGATTATTCCTACTGTATTTAAAGCAATGGTGTAAATAAGTAGCGTATGCAGCAGTACATCTAAGTGTGATCGCCCATGGAGATGAAATTTGAACAAAAGTCCTTCAATTCCTATGGCAATGATATTTGAAACATAGTCTACATCCTTAGGCAATGGCACTTCGTAAAACAATAGTAAGTCTATTACGGCAGTGATACCAAAAAAGAAAAACATAGTGGCATGCTGTCCATTTCCAAGGACAAAGAATTTTCCATTACTTGTGGCGGTGTAAATTTCCAGTGAAAATCCGACAGACACCATGAGAAGTTTTAGCATGGCTTCCAAGGGCCATTCTTTAAGTCTTCCTGGACAGCAAAGGAATGGAAAAATTACGGATGATTTGAATCGGGTGTTTCGTTTCAGCGACTTGAAGTACCGATTGAAAATACAGATGACCCACCAAAGGGACATGATAATGAAGAAAGACCCAGGAAGAGCATGACCCCCGAAGGTTCCCATGATGCCAAGCTATTTACCGCAACTCAGTGTGTGTGCAAACAACTGAAAAAAAGACAGGAAAAAAGGAAACAATTAACTATCTGGTACGAATGGAGGAAATGTTGACGAAATTTACAACATAGATGATCTGATAAAGTAGAAAACATTAGGTTTTAAAGTACACTTATCACCTATTTATCTACATCATATTTATCACTTAAATGATGAGTTAAAAACAAGAAGTGTTTACTGTTAGGCATCTTTCTCAAAGTTCAATCAAACAGACAGTGTGTCTATGTACTTATGTCAGAAAAAAAGACCCTCTGTACTTTGAATATCATTCTTCAGTTACTTAATATCAAGAAGCTTTCAAAAACAAAAACTCATTTGCATGCATCAAAGGACTTTTTATCTTTCAGATATGATTGATAGCCATTTATTTCTTTTACTCTTCCGTATAAGAATTAAGACAGAGTTGGATAAACAATTTTTATAAAAAACAATAGCAACATGAATCAACAATTCAAAGTGCATGTGATTTATAGGAGCCACATGCAAAATGAGATGTTGATACTTGTATTATACAGTAAACATCGTTGGTCAAAGTTCAGGTGTAGATCTGCATGGAAAAAAAAAAAATTTGATTTGTGCCATCGACATATCTGTCCGCCTGTAATGAAATTTTTAGCATATTTAAATGAAATCAATTAACATAAGAAGATTGAAATTTTAATTTATATTAATTTAATCAAATTTTAATGAAATTCAATATAAATACTCATCTTTATGCACTGAGTGTATAACTGTGGTGAGCTTCATTTATACATGTGGTTTTTCATCTTAATATATACATACATGTATAAACATATATAACCACAAAATTAGCTTGTATTCTCAAAATAAAGTGTATGTATAGACGTGCAATAAATACATGTTCATAATGGGGCTGATTAAACAAGAGGCCCATGGGCCACATCGCTCACCTGAGTAGCTTTGGCCATGCTGTTCTTTGCCGGATTTTCCCCCTTTTAATATACCTATTGTGGCCCCGCCCTACCCCCGGGGGTCATGATTTGAACAATTTAGAATCTACACTACCCCCGGATGCTTCAAAATAAGTTTCAGCTTTATTGGTCCAGTGGTTCTTGAAAAGAAGATTTTGAAAAATTTTTCTTATATATTTCAATGTAAAACTTGGATTCCCTATTGTGTCCCGCCTTTCCCCCGGGGGTCATGATTTGAACAATGGATGCTTCCACTTAAGTTTCAGCTTTTCTGGCCCAGTGGTTCTTGAGAAGATTTTAAAAGATTTTTTCTATATATTTCAATGTAAAACTTTGAATTCCCTATTGTGGCCCCGCCTTACCGCAAGGGGTCATGATTTGAACAATTTAGATTCTTCACTACCCCAGGATGCTTCCATATAAATTTCAGCTTTTCTGGCCCAGTGTTTCTTGAGAAGAAGATTTTTAAAGATTGTTCTTATATATTTCAATGTAAAACTTGGATTCCCTATTGTGGCCCCGCCCTACCCCCGAGGGTCATGATTTAAACAATTTAGATTCTTCACTACCCCAGGATGCTTCCATATAAGTTTCAGCTTTTCTGGCCCAGTGGTTCTTGAGAAGAAGATTTTTTAATGACCACATCCTATTTTTGTCTTTTCTTGATTATCTCCTCTTGTAAGGGGACTTGGCCCTTTATTTTAACAACTTACACTCCCCTTCACCCAAGGATACTTTGTACCAAGTTTGGTTAAAATTGGCCTATTGATTCTTGAGAAGAAGTTGAAAATGTGAAAAGTTTACAGACGGACGGACAGACGAACGGACGACGGACAACGGGTGATCAGAAAAGCTCACTTGAGCTTTCAGCTCAGGTGAGCTAAAAAGGAGTTTTACTCCATGTTTTAAAAAAGTCTATACATGTACAGGGTTGTGCAATCACCATCGCCCGATGCCCGGGGCTATCAATTTTAGAGGTCGGGCTATGATAAGTCTATACTGCGTTAGCCCGTTGGGCTAGTAAATCTAAAACAAAAGTTTACTTATATTTACGTCGACTGAATTGATGTACAAATTAATTTTGTTGTAAAATTATAATCTTTAATTCGTTTTAACCTATATGTATTGTGTGTTGCTATCGCCAGTCGTTTCAGTGATAATTATAGTCGATGAAAATAGGGAGAAGTAACTGACAATAAGAAAGCGCAAACCATTATTTGTTTTATTTATTTCAACTTTATTTTTTTTTTACCTTTTTGTTATACTTACACATGTATTGTTTTTGGTAGTTAATGGGCTAGTGACTGGCGACCTTGGGCTAGTAACTTTGCTGCTGCCACGAGCCCGACGGGCTAGTAACTACTTTTTGTAATTGCACACCCCTGATGTACCTGCTTTTTTCACTTTCAAAATATAATCCCCCCCCCCCCCAAATCTTACAAATATGAAGAAGAAAAAATTGTCCGACAACAAAAACCTTGTAGTAAAGTTACATGAGTCCTACTGAATGCGTTATTCAGCAAAGTTCATTAAACATTCTGACTGAATCAATTGATGAATCAATACAGGTATAAATCCATAAATGTACTTCAATGAAGAGTTAATGACATTCAGTTAAACCCAGAATCAATATTAACGCCTTCCAAATTGTTGTTCAGTATAATGTGGTAGCAATTAATGTTTACATTTAGGTCTGAATGAGTTTCTTTATGGAATTTCAGTTTTTTTTTTGTCAACATGATTGATGACACTTGTAGTTTCCAGTACTGCATGCATTTCATGAAAATATTTCTTTTATGCCCTGTTCACTTTGAAAGTGAAATACGCAGTAAATTTATTTAATGCACAGTAAAATAATACGAATTAAACTAATGTGAATTAAATTGCATTCACACGACAGCTAATGTGAAGTAAACTAATGCAAATTAAAATTTTATTTCTACAGTAAGGCTATTCAGCAAGGCTATTATGATGTCATTTTCAAATCATGTCACCGTATGCAGAGCAGATCCATTTGACATAATGTCAAAGTGTCTGTACACATTCATTGATTAACATAATTTTCCTTTGTTTTTCACTAAAAATAGCAGAAGTACCTATATCTGACCACTGACATGTGGCATGTGACTTTAATTTTGCCATTGCGCATGAGTCAAAATTTAAATTGAATTAGCTTCACTTAGTGTTCACATGGAGCTAATGCAAAGTAATTTAATGCGCAGTAAATTAATTCGAATTAAACTTATTCGCATTAAATTCCCCGTGTGAACGCAATTTAATTTGCAGTAACTCATGTTTAATTCAAATTAAACTCTCCGTGTGAACAGGGCATTAAACTGGGTATTTCAATCCCTGTACTGTGGAACCCTGGGAACTGTGCGTCAATGTCTGCTACTCTTGCATATGTTGTTCTTAAGGGATTTGAGTCCCTCCCCCCCCCCCCAGGGTTGTCCCTAAGAATTGAAGTAGCAGGGGAAATTCAAAAAGTAGAAGGGGGTCTGGGATTCCTCTCCTAACTTGAGGTTAAGAAGAATACTAGAGTAACAGGGGGATAACGTCATTATAGGTGGGGAAATTTCCCGGCCCCCGGGTCTTAGGGACAACCATGCCCCCTCCTTCTCCCAACAACATATAAAAACACAGATATGATCATATGCATTATAGATAATAAAATACCCATATATACAGAATGTATCATATTAGACATTCAATTAAAAGAGTCTTTTGTGCTTAAAATAACAACTTAAAGCATGATTTTCTTTAAATAAAAAGATTTTAAAATCTGATTTTAAATGGCTAATTTAAAAAACTCTCTCCTGTCAAGAATTGTCTATTTTCATACAGGATTAAAGGGGGGAAAGATATCAAAATAATGTCTACTTTTGGATTCATACCACATGCTTAGCTTGATAAGCATTCCATGTTTTGTCCACTTAAATCACCTGGTCATCCATTTGCAAATCATAGTGTGCATTTTGAAAATCATGACCAGTCAAAAACAAGGCCACAATATGTAGATTTTTCCTCCTTTTTTGGGACTGGGGGAAAAGGTGGGGTTTTTATTTTAATTACTGTCTGTTTTCTTTTATGTCATTTAAAATCTTACTTCTGTCAAATTGAACATTTTCATTTGAATATTACATAGCTATATATGGCAGATTGCAAATGACACAATTACAGAAAAAAATCATTTAAGCGGATAATTGATGGTAACTTCAGTCAAATGTTTCAACACTAGAACCAAATTTTATTGACATATTGCATCGGAGGATTAAAACGGTAGGATGACTAGTGTTTTGAAAGAATTTCACATTTCTATATTTTCTATTTTTAGTAACTTTTCATCAAAGTCTGGAAAATATGTACAAAAACATGTACTGCATCTTTTGAACACATACGGATTTCCTGTATCTTTTTTTTTTTGAAATTGTAGCAAAATTTTAGGGGAAGTGGCATTGCTGGAAAATATAGATTCAACAAACAAAGATGTAAACTTAGTGTTCTTACCAATGTATAAGCCCATAATTCTGATCTTAGACCAGTAGAGCTAAAAATGAAGAAAATTTAAAAAAAAATTCTCTTTTAACTTGCAAGCATGAATTTCATAAATTTACTTTTCAACATTCAATTCCTTCATACAAAATTTTAAGAGAAAAGTGCCATGCATTTTTAGTCCCTTAGCCATATTTGCTTGATGTACATGTATAAATACCTGTAAGCAGTTTTCATTTTATCATGATAACCTTCCATACTGTGAAATATGTCAAGATGATGTCCTATCAATTTAATTAAACCACTCATCCCGTCATCTACCAACCAACTGGATGCCACACAAAATGCCGAGTTTTTAACAACAAATAATACCCTGAATCAAATAATATCCCTCAGCCACTTTTCACCTGTGGTTTAAAATCAAATTGATTCACGTGCTTGTAAACAATAGCAGGTCTATCAAGATGACTGGAATGTTTGTAAGGGTTTAATGTATTCATACACCTTCAGTGACCGATCCATGATCCAGAAATTTCACTCCTACCTGAATCA